TCCAGTGGCGACCAGGTAGCTCTGCTCTTCTGAAGCGTACGAGGCACGCTGGTCGGTCCATTCTCCTCACGAGTGCCCGGGCTGCGGCCCGCCTAGGTGGTGGGAAGCGGCTCTTCATTATCCTGCTCCACTTGAGCCGTGGTCCCTCACCTACGGCTCGACCAAAGCGGAAAAGCTGTTGAGAAACTCCCTTTTTCTTTTTTTTTCCCCCATCAAGAAGGAGCAGAAGGGGCTTTGGAGTCCTAAAGACTTGGCTACCTGCGGGCTGTGGCAGGAATTTGGGGGAAACCATAGCAATTAATCAAAGAAACGTCAGTGAAGGGAAGGGTGGTATGGCGCCCCAGGGAGCAGGGCTGGGGGGAAGAGCCACGTTCCATCTGGTGTCTCCCCTGCTGCACTGTGCGGGGCCTCAGCTGGCTCCAGAGAGGATCTGCCTGCATCTAGTTGTCAAATAGGACTTAAAGTCAGTTCAGCTGTAGTTTTGCTACCGGTTGGTAATTAAATATTCAATGTTCACCTCAACTATATTTTAGTATGCCTGAATTTGCTTTCCGTTAAATGTTGTCCTTAGTGTTGAGTTTGGCTATGGTTGTATTCCTTTTCCCACCCTTATTTTGAGTTTCAGGCTACATATTCAGAAACTATTCTACTTTTTAAATTAAGAATTGAATTGAATAGAAATCAAGAAACAGGAACTTGAATGTCCTTTTGTAACCAGAATATACTAATCTGATACAATATATACCATTATTTTTGAACCATATCAGTGAGCAAGCTATTTTAATTATTATTGGCTGGGACTATGGTTTTCTAGAAGATGCCTAGTGTAGAGCTTTAAGAATTGTTCTGTATTTGCATAGCTGCTACATTTGTAGCTTTGTAGATAATTTTACTTTTGGTATAACTTTCAGCTCTTATACTTGCTTAAGTTCCAAACAAGTAATATTGAGGTTTTATTTTTAAACAAAACTAAAGCAATTTAGGAGCAGATAACTTCATTGATTTGTTGATCACTTAGATGCATACTTTCTTTACGATAAAGTAAGATTAAATACGTTACGCAATTTAAGATTCATAATTAATCTAAAAATTACACTATCTTAGCAACATTCACCTGGGGACAGATTTGCTAGCTCTAAAACATGAAGATTTAGACCATGAGGTACAATGAGACATTCAAATATGGTAATTTATAGTAATGTTAAACTAGTGTTCAAGTGGATGCTTCAAGAGATACCTAGTGACCTGTGCTCTTCTATGTGCACTAGTTTAAATTTTAGTCTAGGCATATGCTGTATGCTAAAGAGGAGATCGGTTTTCTAAACTGATTATTTCAATTGACAAAAGGCTTGAACCTATTTTGCAGTAAAACATGTGTAGGAGGCAAGATAAAAAAACCCAGTGTGATGTTGCAGACAATTTTACTCTTTAGAACACTCTGGTCAGGTACTGGTTTTCCTCCTCCAGCAGCTGATGACAGCATCATGTTAAGGTAGTGAAATGAAAGGTCCCCTTTTACTTAATACGTGTATGATAGAACTTTTTGATAGATCTCTAGTGTGCCGAACTCTGTCTTTGGAAAGCAAGTACATGCTATTTCTTAAAGCAGTGTTCAAATGTATAAGGAGACCAGTGAAACCCCATCGTTGTATTACTTATAGTTACTTAGTTTTCTCATGTGTCTCTTCAGAACTTAGATTATTTTATGTTTGGAAACTGAGATAACCAGACAGACCTACGTAAGGACAACCCACTTTTCTGGCCGCCTACTTTCCTGCCTGGCTTATAATTCTAAGTTATTTAAGCTTGTCTATGTTATCTAAACTCTAAGTCCCAGGTTTAAAGACCCAAGGGATTTTTCATTTCTCTTATTCCACAGTTTCTGTGTTACTTGTGGGCCCATTTCACATGCAGCTCACTGTGCCATTTTCATTGTCCTATCCTTTAATAAAAAAAAATTAGCAAACATAACTATTCTTACTTTCACAGTTGCTTTTTTTGGTAAAAAAGTAAATGAAACAAAAACCATAGTTAAGAAAAGATTTATACTTTTCTGTTGGTTTATCATTTTAAGTATTTAGTCAAGAAATCAAACAGGAAATTAGAAAGTTATGTCACACCAGTCACCTGGGTGGAAAACAGCTGCATAGGATTTAGTACTTAGTCTGCTATTAAGTTTTGTTGATTTGTTGTTTCACTCTCTAGAAAGGAAAATGAAATTCATGTCTTTTGCAGGGTTGTGGAAATCAACCAAAGGTCTGCTGGACCACACGGAAGTAGCTAAGAATGATTCCTTCATTTTGTGCTTCAGTTAAACAAGATGAGTTAATTCAGAATTTGAGTAAATTCAGAGAAGAAAAAAGATTCAGTCGTCGTCCTGGGGTAGGTAAACCCAGTTCAAAAATCACAAGGCAAATACATTCAAACTGGCTATATGATTTCCTTTTGTGTGTTAAAAGACATTCCAACATTGAGATTATTTATTTATTTGTTATTTTATTGGGCATTGTATAAACACGAAATAACATAAAGACTCTATCTAACAGAATATAGGATCACATAGACAAGATCGAATCGCTGTGGGGAAGAACAATACCCCATAAGCAGTGCAATGGCATCGGAGCACATCCATTGTGCTCTTTTGGACTTCGGGAGAGAAGAGATTACTTAGGAAAGGGTAAAATGGGAAAAGAGCAGAGAAGACACATGTACAGTTAAGCATTATAAAGGCCAGATTGGGGCAAACAGCCACTGGAATGATGGAATGTCAGGCAAGCTTGAGGGATTGAGGTGTTTGAGCCTGTTTTGCTGTCTGTCTGTTCTTAAGATACAGGTTTTAAAAGGCAAAAGTACAAGAAGGTCAGGATTTCCATTGTATGCATTTGTAAAATACTCTCTTTATACTATGCATTTTGCCTGTGCAGAATCTTCCTAAAGCTAATGGAATTCCAGTTTATGGGACATAAAGGGTTCTACCTTAATACAAGAAGTATAATGACAGGAAGTAAAACAAAGAGCAAGATACATCTATCACATATTTTCATTTACTCTTTACCTAAAAGCAAAACTTAAACGCAACAGATCAAACAACTGACATTTAATGACAAGCAAAGTAAGATCCAGTAGTAACAAAATATATTAAAACAAAGAAATTAAACAACCCTCCCCCTCCAACAACCTCTGGTTAGACAATAGTAACTGAGATAAAAATTACAAGAGCCTATTAATCTTTGTCCAGTTGGGAATAAAAAAATTATCAGATGAGCTAAGAAGGGAGTTCTTCTGTCACACTGTAATTTTTCTTTGCAAGAAATAGTTTTAGGCTTTGCTCTAAAGTATATGGTCCAGTCATTTTTGCAGACATGAATGACTGATATGTTTCTGTATGGTGTTTCTTGCTTCTCCTTCCTCTTCAAAAACCACTACAAAGCAGGCTGCTTCTTTGTAAGAATTAAAACTCGGGGTTTAGTCTTTGCGTAAAAGCGTTTCCCAGATTTACAAAAACGTAACTGTGCAAAAAGGGGGTGACATTTGTAGCATCGAGTGTACAGTAGTGATTTCTGAAGATTCTGTACTACAGTTTGAGAAATATCTGCCTATTTCTTGATACCCTGCCATCTCTGAGAAAAGGAAAACTCTGTTAAGAATGTACGGGCTAGGTCATATAACTGGGACAGGGGAAGTGAAACGCGTATGGATTTGTGCCTCTGCCCTATAATGAAAATTCTCAGTGGGAACCATAGTTTAAAAAACCTTTTGCAACTAAACAGCAGTTGAAGTAATTTTACTACATATGTAATTGAATGATAACTGTAGACCCTTAAGGAAGGCGGGAAAGGCAGAGGTACTGGATTTTAGCTGGCATATACAAGTGTAAAGCTAACCTGCTGTTTTGTGAAAAACAGAAGTAGGAATCCAGTTCAGTGTCTGCATCTGGAAATCAATTACTGGCTGTTACGTAACGATGTGCTAATTCTGTGGGGACTGACTGCAGTTGTTATTTAGAATCTGTTAAGCAAATAGATACTCTGCTTGCAGAGCAGGTGGAACAGCTGCTGCATGCGCTGAAGCAGTAGTGCGTTCTTAAGAGATCATAGGTTGAATCCGAGCTCCTACATCCCTGGTTCTGTGAAATGGTGTTTCATTCTGAGACTGGCTCCTCCTTTCACACAGAAAACCTGCTTGCAGTCTAGTATCACTTCTTTGTTTTGAAGGGTGTCTGTTAAGAGATGAAGTGATTATAAACTAGTTTGTAAGACTATATTTAGAAAATCAAACGTAGCTAACTTTTGTCAGGGCATGAAATTAGAGGGGTAGTGAATTAGAAGTAGAATGACTGCTTTCGGGAATGGTTATTTAGAAGAGCCAAATTGCAGTTTTACATACATAGAGTATGTAAAATTATTTTCTGTTTTATTTTGTAGTACTATATTGCCTGTACAGTTAAAAAGAGGTAGTGTTGGAATGAGCTTTCTGATCACAAGAAAGTAAGTTTCTGTAAAAGCTTTGAGTTCAAAAATGGTATTTATAAATCCTGTA